TGAGTGTAAACCACGAGAACCAACTTTTCGAGTTTTGAATATCGAGAAGTAGGTTCTCGAGGTTTAAATACCGAGAAGCTCTTCTCGATATTCAAACACCGAGAACTTGGTTCTCGATGTGAGAATATCGAAAAGTCCTTCTCGAGATCTAAACTTCGAGAATTTCCTTTCTCGATGTTTAACTATCGAGAACTGCTTCTCGGTATTTCAAACTTCGAGAAGTAGGTTCTCGGTATTTAAACATCGAAAAGACTTTTTCGAGGTTCAAATATCGAGAACTGACTTACGAGATTTGAAATATCGAGAAACAATTCCTCGAATTCAAATATCGAGAAAGATGTATTCTCGAGTTCGTACTCAGAAGAAATGTCGAGAACCACCTGCAATAACACATAATCACAAAGATAATATCCAAAACTTTTCGATTTTCAAGTTTTCAGTTTTCGAGAAATATATAGTTCTCGATATTCCATTTCGAGAAATTTCTTTCAAGTTTTGGATTCGAGAACTTGCCATTGTGTGCGAAAACCATTTTATTGATGTTGTTGATGATAACAAAACCTAGAATTCTACCTTAAGATTGATTCGAGAAGATTGCGAGAAAATGTTTTAAACTTCGAGAACTCTGGACTTCGAGAAAGCTTATGCGAGAAAGTGAATAATGCGAAAAGAAGTTCTCGAAGTCATCTTTTATATGCGAGAAATTGGGTTTGGGCCTTGCGAGAAAATGTCCTTGGCCCAAAGGTTTGGGCCCAGTTTCCCTTTTGTTTTAAAATGTATGGGGCCCAAAAGCACTTGTGCTCTTGAAGATGAACAAAACTCCCCCTCAAATTATTCATGGGGAAAAAATGAAAAACACACACACACACTCTTTTTCTTTCTTTTCTGATTTTCTGACACACACACACTCTTTTTCTTTCTTTTCTGATTTTCTGACACACACACACACTCTTTTTCTTTCTTTTCTGATTTTCTGACACACACACACACTCTTTTTCTTTCTTTTCTGATTCTCTGACACACACACACACTCTTTTTCTGATTTTCTTCTTTTTCTCCCCCTCAAAGTATTCCTCTCTCTCTTATTTTCTCCCTTTTTCTCCCTTTTTCTCCCTTTTTCTCCCTTTTTCTCCCTTTTTCTCCCCCTCAACACATGCAACGCACACCACCCACACACACACATTTTATTCAGACCATGGAAATAACACAATTACATAGGATCGAAGTTCAACATGCCTAACTTAGATACTAGGAACTGGAATCTCTTTTCATCCAATGCCTTAGTAAATATGTCAGCCAGTTGAAGCTCGGTGCTAACAAAGTATAAATCAACATCTCCCTTCTCCACATGGTCCTTGATGAAGTGATACCGCAGGTCGATGTGCTTGGTGCGCGAGTGATGAACGGGGTTGCTGGTTATGGCGATTGCACTTTGGGAGTCACTGTAGATGGGAATATGGTTGAATAGGAAGCCATAGTCTCTGAGTTGTGTCCTCATCCATAGAATTTGTGAACAACAACTAGCAGCCGCAACGTATTCTGCCTCGGCTGTAGAAGTTGACACACAGTTCTGCTTCTTGGAGGACCAGCAGACTAGCTTCTCTCCTAAGAATTGAGCACTTCCCGACGTGCTCTTTCGATCCATCCGACAACCAGCAAAGTCAGCATCAGTATATCCAATTAGGTCAAAACCTGAGTTCTTGGGATACCACAGACCCAGATTGACTGTGCCTTTTAGGTATCTCAAGATTCTTTTCACAGCAGAGAGGTGGGAATCTTTGGGATTAGCTTGAAAACGCGCACATAAACATGTTGAGAACATAATGTCAGGTCTGCTTGAGGTAAGATATAGCAGCGATCCAATGATAGCCCGATAATGAGTAGCGTCAACTGGTTTCCCTGTGGGGTCTGAGTCAAGCTTATTGTTGGGGGACATAGGCGTTTTCATGGATGTAGTACTTTCAACATTGAATCTCTTCAACATGTCCAAGATGTATTTAGATTGATTGATGAAGATTCCATCCGGCAGCTGTCTCACTTGCAGACCGAGAAAGAAATTTAACTCTCCCATCATGCTCATTTCAAACTTAGTTCTCATCAATTCTTCAAATTGTTTGCATAGTTCAGGATTGGAGGAGGCAAAGATGATATCATCAACGTAGATTTGAATTAAAAGAATATCATTCTCTTGACGCTTGATGAACAGTGTTGTATCAATCCTTCCTTTTGAGAAGCCTGATTCTGTTAAGAAATCTGTCAAGGCATCATACCAGGCTCTCGGTGCTTGCTTCAATCCGTACAGTGCTTTATTCAGTTTATACACATGATCAGGAAATCTTGGATCTATAAATCCTTCAGGCTGAGCGACATAGACATCTTCAGCAAGAATACCATTCAGAAAAGCCGTCTTCACATCCATTTGGTAGACTGTGAAGTTCTTGTGTGCTGCGTAAGCAAGAAAGAGGCGGATAGCTTCAATTCTTGCTACGGGTGCAAAAGTCTCATCGTAGTCTATGCCCTCTTGTTGATTGTATCCCTTGGCAACCAACCTTGCATTGTTCCTCACAATGATTCCATCTTTATCTTGCTTGTTTTTGAATACCCACTTTGTGCCAATAATGGTTTTCTTCTGTGGTTTAGGCACAAGTGTCCATACGTTCATTCTGCTGAATTGATTGAGCTCATCTTGCATAGCAATCACCCAATCAGGATCAGTCAATGCGTCAGCAACTTTCGTTGGTTCAGACTGACTGATAAAGCAGGAGAAGAGACATTCATTGGCTGTTGCAGTTCTGGTGCATACTCCACGACACGGATCTCCAATTATTTGTTCAACAGGGTGTGCCTTCGTCCAATTCCGCTCATGTGTTAGAGGGATTGGAGTTATGATGGGGTGATCCGGGTCCTCAAAGATATTAGATGTTGTTTGTTGAGGTGTAGAGTGCACTGGTTCAGCAGGAGTTGTTGTTTGTGTTTCTGGTGAGATTTGTGTTGATGCTGTTGCTTGTGTTGCTTCTGTGTGATGATCTTCTGGATCTTCATGATCGGATTGAGAGAAAGCATCTTCCTCATTTTCAGTAAGATCAAGCAAAAGTGGCATCTTTGCTGTAGGTTCTGTTGTTGGTGCAATCCTTTGCTGTGGATTTGTGTTACGTGGATTCTCATAGAAGTGTTCAAAAAGAGAATCAAGAATCGCACGTTCAGTAGATGTTTGCTCAGTTGCTTCAGCTCCATCAGAATTTTGATGTTCAGAAAGAGTGGGTTCTGTCAAGAAGTGTTCAGATGCAAAATCTGCCATTTCATAAAATGCAACATGTACACTCTCTATGACAGTTCGTCGATCCCTCAAGTAGATTCTATAAGCTTTGGATTGCGTTGAGTAGCCAATAAACACACCTTCTTTGGCCTTTGGATCGAGCTTGCTTCTTTCACTTCTATCATTCAGAACAAAGCACTTGCAGCCAAAAACTCTGAAAAATGATATGTCAGGAGTTCTGTTGAAAAGAATTTCATAGGGGGTCTTGTTGAAGCGCCTGTGAATAGTGGTTCGATTTTGAGTGAAGCACGCAGTATTGATGGCTTCTGCCCACATGAAGTGAGGAAGTTTGGATTGTATGAGCATAGTGCGTGCTGCTTCAATAAGAGTTCTGTTCTTTCTTTCAACTACTCCGTTCTGTTGAGGAGTTTTTGCCGCAGAAAACTGTTGAGTAATACCCTGAGATTCAAAGAAATCAGTAAGGCACTGATTTTTGAACTCGGTTCCATTATCTGTTCTCACCACTTGAACACTCTTCTGAAGGAAATTTTGAATTGTCCTGATGAAGGTTATGATGATTTTTGTTGCTTCATCTTTTGTCCTCAAGAATTTGGTCCATGTGTATCGAGAGTAATCATCCACAATGACTAAAGTGTATTTTCGTCCATTGATACTTTGTACTCTCATTGGTCCACACAGATCCATGTGTATCAGTTGTAATGCTTGAGAGGAGGATGGAATTTGTTTTGACTTGTGAGAGCTCCTTGCCATTTTGCCTAATTTGCAGGCACCACAGTGGTTGTCAGCGGAAGTCTTCAGAGTAGGCAGCCCTTTCACAAGTTTCTTCTTGGACAGAAAGATCAGTTGTTTGAAGTTCAGATGAGATAGCCGTCTGTGCCACAGGCTGTTCTGCTCAGAGGAAGCTTTGGACAACAGGCAGATGGAAGAAGTTGATTGAACACTTTTCAGATCAATAGTGTACAGGTTTGATATCCTGTTACATGTTAATAATGTGTCACCATAGCTGTCTATCACACAACATTGTCTAGATTTGAACTTCACTTCCATCCCGCTATCACAAAACTGTCCAATGCTTAACAAATTGTGCTTCAGTCCTTTCACGTAGGAGACAGCCCTTATGGTGACACTCGGACAGATGACATCTCCGTATCCAAGAATAGGAGACGATGCATTGTTGCCGAATCTCACATTTCCTCCGTAGCATGAAGTGTAGTTGCTCAGCAGGTGTTTTATTCCGGTCATGTGGGTTGAGCAGCCAGAATCCAAGTGCCACACATGACCGTTCTGCAAAACAATTAAGTTTTCTTAGGTACCCACCGTAGGATGGGTCCTTCCTTATTAATCAAAAACATCTTTTTAAATTTTTCTTTGAGCTGTGATCCAAGGTCAACAGCTTTTTCAGTCAATGTTTGAGCTTTTCCTTTTTCAGATTCAGATTTGGGTAACCATTTCTGCTTAATTGAAGGAGGAGATGAGACATGATCATAGTGAGTGAATGGATGTTGATTAAGATATGGCTTAAAAATTTCTTCTTTGGAGAGTCTTTTCAGATGTTTCTTTGAATGAATTCGGAGGGGGTATTTTAAATGCAAAAAGTCATAATAACCCTCAACAAATTCATTCTCAGATTTCTTTTGTGATCTTTGTTCATTTTTTCTTCTCCATCTCACATCATTCATATCACTATCAAAATCAGAACTTGATAAACTACCATCATATCCATAAACATTATCAGAAGATACAAAGGGTTCAACATTTGATCTAGAAACATTCAGCTTGGGACTCAAGACTGAACTTTGACTACTAGACTGCTTAACAGAGCCAGAGCTACAATTATTTTTGGAATAGAACATCGCACTTGAACTAGAATTTTTATTTTTCAAAAACACTTTCTTCTTTCCTTCAGCAATCTCTCTTCTTCTTGACTTCCACTCCTCTCTCTTCTCCCATCTCCGACTCACTTTGGTTCCTGTAACCGAAGGAGACTTGGAGTGAGTAGGTGGACTTTCAAAAATGTTCTTAATTTTGTTGTTATGATCAATGGTTGAGTCAGTACTACTTGTAGATTGGGAAGCTGTGTTGGACTGGGATTGTTCTTTTAAAAGAGTAAGTTCATTTAACAGTCTGTCACGCTCACTCTCAAAACTCTTCCTCTCTTCTTCAAAACTTTTTCTTTGATTTTCAAGAGAAATGTGTAAGTTTTCAAATTTCTTTATTAGAGGAGGAATATAGGGTTCATCTACATCAGACTGTGAGTTCGAGGAAGATTCCAGATCAGACACAGCTTCCTTTTCAGAAGGATAAAGACTCACACATTCATCAGAAGAGAAGACAGGTTCAGTTGTAGCATAACTTTTGTTCAAAGCAGAATAATCAAAAGAGATTTGAGCTTTTGTGCTGTTTGTTCTTTTCTCAGCCTCAAGTTCTTCCGTTTCTTTTGCCGCAGTGAAATGCATGAGCTTGGTCAGACCGAACCCCATATAGTTGACATCATATAATTGTTTACATTTAACCTTTTTCAGGTTGCAGGGATTCGATAGACCAAGTCCTTCTTTGGAGTTGTAGAAACGGGTATCCTTGGGCTGATTTAAGAAAATCGTTTGTTCAGTTTGATCACGTTTAGCTAACAGATCCTCAAGCTCCTTAATCTTCCTATAAAGAGCACTTCTTTGATCATGCAAAACCTTTTTCAATCCATTTGTTTGATTAAGCTCTGTCTTGGTGTCACGCAGCTCACGAGTCAAGTCTGTGGTCTTAAGTGTCAACTTCTCAGTTTCTAAGGTCAATTTTTCAACCTTTTTCGTAGATTCATCAATTTTTAAGGATAGGCAGGCATTCTTATGCAAGTTCTTAAGTAAAACTTTGTGATTGTTATCAAGTCTCGCCTCGAGCTCCCTAATGGTTTTGTCCTTTTCAGTTAAAGAATGATTTTTGCATTTGCAAGAACATGAGTTTTTAGAAGGACTTACAATGCTGTTTGAGCTTTCACCTTCATCATCTCTGGGGATCGCAGCATCACCCTTTCTTTCATCCTTTTCCACTATCGCCATTAAAGCTAAGTTTTCTTCTTCCTCATCTGAAGAATCATCCTCCATCCAATGGTCCTTCTCAGCGAGCAGTGCTGCATTTTCATCTTCTTGCTTTGCCATGAACATCTTTTGCTTATTCAGGAGCATTTTCTGCTTGTAGTAATTGAAGTCCCTCCTTCTTGGTAGGCGACAGTCTTTGATCAGATGTCCTGGCTTTCCGCAATTAAAGCATTTAGGAGGTTCTTCTGCTGCAACAACTCCTTCTGAGGAATTCTGCTCAAACCGCTTTGGTTTGTAGTTGGATGAGGAGGTTCTCAGCTTGTTGGATGAAGTGTTCTTCTTAATAAACCTTCTGTTGTATTGTTTGGTCAAGAGTGCCATTTTCTTCTGCAACTCTGCCATTTCAGACTCCATGTCTATCTCTTCATCACTTCCTTCATCTTCTTCTGACATCACTACAGCTTTCTTCTTCTTTTGCGTTTTAGTGGTACTCCTCGTCTGAGTTTCCATCACTAGAGCAAATGGATCAGCAATTTCGGGTTCTGCAGTGTCGTTTACAAACTGTTGTAGATGATCATGAATGGTGTAAAGATCAACTTCATCAAGATCTAGACTCTGTCTCACATTCTTCACTGTTCTCTTCCATTCAGGGCTCAGACTAGAAAGGAATCGTATGTTCAGCTCCATGTTGGCTTTGTTCACATTAATCTTTCGCAAGTCATTCACAAGCTTGACAAATCTGTTGTAAGTCTCATGCAGTGGTTCACCAGGTCTAGCCTTGAAAGAGTCATATGCAGTTAGAGTACTTGCTTTCTTGGTTTTCAGACCCAGATTGGTTCCTTCCATCAGCTTTCTAATCTCGTCCCACATCTCCTTTGCAGAATCCATACTATCTATCAGGATATAGATGTCGTTTGGAATTGCTTGGAGCAGATACGTTTTTGCCATCAGATCAGCCTTGACTCTCAATCTATCTTCTTCAGTATACTCTTCGACAGCTTTAGGTATCCTTACTGGTTCAACGGGGGGCTCATTATCATTGTCACCTCTAAGTATCATCCAAATCTGAGCTGGTCCCTCCGTCAGTGATTCAAGCATGGCTGAAGAGTTGTCTTTGCTTTCGAGAAAATTGAGAAACATGTTCTTCCACATTACGTACTCATCTCTCCGCAAGATCGGGGGTCTATTATCATTTCCTATTGAAAGAGCGTCCATTTCTGCTATTCTTAAACAATGACCGTTCGAGTGATTGGTCTGTAAAAAAAAATCTAAGTATAGATTATCGAGAAGTGAAAACTTCGAAAAGAATGTTCGAGAACTAAGAGTTCGAGAAAGATTATCGAGAAGTGAGTTTCGATATCAAAACTTCGAAAAGAATGTTTCCGATATATTGATTTCGAGAAGCCGATTGTCGAGAAGTCAAACTTCGAGAAGTTCAGTTCGAGAACTGTCTTTTCGAGATTTGAGTGTCGAGAACCGATGTCGAGAACCTGCAATATCGAAAAACAAGTAATTCGAAGGATAAATATCGAAAAATACTAATACGAGAAGCTAGTATCGAAAACTAAGTTTTCGAGTTCAATATCGAGATCATCCTATCGAAATCCTGTACTTAAAAAATTTCAGAATTTTAAAAATGAAGACTGCTGCTGAGTTGTTTTCGATGTCGAGAAGCTTCCTGTTTTGATCAAACTTCGAAAAACCTGCTTAAAGTATCGAGAACATGCTTCTCGATATAGCAATACCGAGAACTTCCAAAAGTGAAAATTACAGGTATCGAAAATGATGATATACTACTGGTTCGTTTTTGAAAGACGAATCCAACAGTATAACTTTTACACAGAATTGTCCAAAAACAGATTTACACAGATAGATTCAATAAAATATCGAAAACATAAAACAGAGCATTCTTCGCAGTTTTTCTTCGATGCAGATCAGTACTCGATCGGCTCTGATACCAATTGTTGGTCCCAAAATAAGGATGTATTGAACAGCAGAATACGATCTATGACAATATAGGTAAGGTCTAGATAATGATATGATTAATCTGAGAGCAATAGAGCCTTACGCTATACTATCGAGAAGTATGAAAATAGTACTGTATTGATGATTGTTCTCGGTCCTGTACCACAAGTACGCGTATTTATAGGCGCAGGTACAGGTACCGAGAATGGTAACCTAGAATTCTGGGCCTAGGCCTTTTTGGGCCTTAAACCCTTAGTTGGATTTATTTCATCATAAATACATTAAAACGTTAATCTATTCTAGATAAATAATCAAGACATCAGACAAGCTTGATCACAATTAATATTTTTCCTCAACAACATCTCAAAGAAGAAGAAGCTCCTTGATCCAATCACTACTGCAGAACAGGATGATAATAATGATGACGATGATGATGATGATAGTGACTTTGGAGACTACCCTCAAGATCAACAACACACTAGAGGTAAACAAATCATTCACTCTCCTTCCTCCTCCTCGAGTGATAAAGAATTGCACCAGGTACTTGAAAAATCCAAGTTCGAAACTAAAGGAGGTGGTGAATCATCCAAAGCAACCAGCAACCAGCCCACTGCTATACTAATCACACATCAACAACACCCTACTGCTCAGCCCACTGCCGATCCAGAAGAAGATAATGATAAAGAAGACACTATATCTTTAGCAGACCTCTTTGTTCAAGAAAGAGGAGCATCAATTCAATTCATTAGCAGAGCAGAAACACGGTTGCACAAAAGACTGATCAAAATGAAGACACAACTAGAAGAGAGACTGGATGTAAGATTTGAGGAAGTCCACAGGCATATCCGCAATAACTTAATGATCCAACAAGTCTTCAACTCTGAACAGAGAGCTCTGCTCAAAGCAAAGACATCTCAAAATGAGGCATTAGCTTTGGATATCCAGAAAGAGATAATTAATCTCAAAGCAAGAGATCAAGATCTTGAAGACCAGTTCTTGGCACATCTGAAGCATCACCATCCACTAGTCTCAACACAAGAAGCAGACACCTCTGCTCAGGTATCTTCCATTCCTTGTCTTCCGCCTAATATTGAGCAGGCACTTCAAAAGATACAAGAGCATGAAGCATATCTCAACAAATTTCGAAATGAGGAATTCCCAGCTATGTACAAATTCTCCTACAAGCTTCTCAAAGGACAGGAAGCTCATGCTCAATCATTTGAGCAACTCACAAATGACATAGCAGAAAACTTCAAAAAACTTCAGAAGTCCACTCAAGAAACATTCTGGAAGCAGGGGGCTGATATCCAACAATTAGGTCAAGAAATGGACACAACAAAGAAGATTCTGAAGAAAGTGGAGGAAGAAGTCAGAGTAGATGTGAAGACTGACCTCCTGGACATAAACAACACTCTCAAAGCAATGACTATCAAGGTCTATGGTCTCCAGCCTACAGTAAGGAATGAGGACCCAGTGTCAGATGAAGAAATTGAAGCCCTTTTCCAAGATGTTGATGATGCCAAAAAGGGGGAAGGTACATCAGCAGGACTCCCCACCTCAGCAGGACCCTCATCCAAGAGACAAATAGCAGCAAAGAAGGCAGCTGAGACAAGAAGGAAAAACAAAATGCTACAAGAAGAGGCTGCAATCAGAAAGAAGAAAGCAGAAGAGGCTAAAGCCAAAGAAGAAGCTAAAAAGAAGGAAGAAGACACGCAACCTCAGTAGACTTAATCAAAAGTCCGAGAATGACTATAAACTACTGTATTAGCAAAACACTTGTAACTATTCTCTTTTTAATAAAGAAAAATTCTTCCCTGCTTAGTATAGTTTTGGCATCATCAAAAAGGGGGAAATTGTTAGTACCCAATTTTAATAAGATTTTGATGATGCCACTATACTAAGAGTCAATATGTCCTGCGTTCTTACTTTAATTAAAGGTTGATCAGGCTCTCAAAACTGTGACTAATTAAAATGTACAATTTTTGTACTAAATAAATTTTTACTGGAAAATTAAAATGCAATAAGGTATTTCTTTTTACCTTAAAAGGATATTCAGATCCCACCAGTATAAATTTATTTAGTACATAAAATTATCAAGTCACATAATCAGCTGATCAAGAAATGACAAATTAATTCTGTACCAAGTAAATTTTACTGGAAACTAAAAACTACAATAAGGTAAAATTTGTTTACCTTAGAAGGACACTTTGATCCTACCAGTACAAATCTATTTGGTACATAATAAAATAAGAACACGGCATACACACACACATACACTGCATGTGTATGATTGAAGACAAAGACAAGAAAAGCATTAAATGCTCAAACAGTACGAAGACCAAAGAAGATGGGTCGCACACACCAAAACGTGAAGATTGAACCTTGACTTGATCTTCTAGCTACTAATCAGTGAAGACAAAGGAAATTTCCAATATCAGCTCCAGCACAAGAGAACAAGAGTACACCTCATTCTGCGAATAGGATTGAATCCTCTCAACCAACGGAGGAGATCAACCTACTGGAGAAGCATATAAAAGAAGGCATAGGCATGAGTTCTAAAACCAAGTTTTTGAGTCTTCTAAGTAGAGTAACCACTCTAAGTATTCACGAGCTATCAAGCAAAAGAGAAAGTGCCTTATCAAACTTTGCTCTCTGCTTAGACTCATGCTTCACTAAGCTCTAAGATTAGATTAACAACCGTCATATTTGAAGAGCTTAGTTCATAGTTGGAGGTTAGAACTTTCTTGTAATCACAAGTTGTTGTAAACACTTAGGAGAACAGTTGTTCAGATCCTAAAGTGCAGTTAGATAGAAAAGAGTACCTTTTGAACCCCACTGGTTCAATAGAGAAAAGTCTAAGGACTGAGTAACCTTGAGTGGTGCTATACTCATTGTGAAAAACCTTCAATCTAGGCCTAAGTGTTGTAAAGGCTGGATTGACACTAAGTGTATTGGGCTTAATACTTTAGTGAAATCCATCTGAAAGAGGGTGGGACTGGATGTAGGAGGATTACACCACCTCTGAACCAGGATACATCGTGTGTTGATTTTATGTTAGTCAACAAAGCACACAACCAACACTTCTCACAAAAAGATTGGAGTTTGCCAGCAGCATCCTAAGCAGTTGCCTCAACAGACCCTACTGCTTATCCTACTGCTTAATTACTCACTTTCTTTGAGACCTTTTTCACACAAGAAACGTGCACCAATATCACTAAAAGACCTATCAGATCATTTTCCAGAAATCCATTCTCAAGTATAGCAGGTGCCTCAGCAGTCCCCTGGTGTCCATCCAACTGCTGAGCCCTCTGCCCATATACACTTGTTTCTCTTGAGCATCTCAATATCACTGGACCTTCATAACACTACCAACGAGGAGGTTGACCAAACTGCTCTCTGAAATTCGCCCTCTAAACCAAGCAGGCACCTCAGCAGTGCCCTCATCACTGCTCAACTGCTGAGACCACTGCTCCAGTAAAACTTCTGATTACATATACTAAAGCACATTCTCAAAAGCCTTCACTATTCTTAGCAACATTTCATCATCACCTTCTTCAAACACCCAATACTTTCTCAGCAGTTGCCTCAGCAGTCTACTGCATTTCAGCTAACTGCCAACTCAGCAGTTGCCTCAGCAGTCGCCTACCCATCATCCAACTGCCAAGCCTACTGCCCTTCCATAATCAGTCTAAACATCACCCAGATTAGGAAGTTATCGTACACTGAGTTTCTAGAGGTTAAAAGACTTCCGCTGTG